AAATGACTATCTAACCTAAAGTATTTTAATCCAATTCAGTCTATCTCCCTCATAGCATTTTCCAAGGACTTTTTTTTCTCAATTCTTGTGTTTATTCCAACTTTGGTAGTCTCATGATAGAAAAATATTTGTCTCCTCTGAAACTTGCACGATTTTTATTGTTTTCTGGTAATCTGAAGCATATTTGCTACAGACATAAGCAAGACTGACCTTGGATTCTTATTTAACTCAACATCCCCATTTTAAAACTCTGACAGAAATAACCAGGATTTTTTTCTAAGGACAGTGACTTAAGCTTTGTAAATAATATTCTTGTTAAAATTATTCTATTAACCAAATTTCCTTCCCTCTATCAAGTTCACGTTTATTGCAGAGTCTGAGATTTCATACTTTTTTTTTTTAAATCTATACATTTGAGGATCACAGTGCTTTACTTTTTCTGAAAGATTTTTACTATCTGAATGTGAAATTCCACATACTATCTGTTTTTTGTTTTGTTTGTTTCTTGGTAGCATCATCAATGTTCTCAGTTTTTAATATCTTCCCTTTATCGTAAGCTTTATAAAAGCATGTCATTTGAAGTAATCATATGTGTCCATGCAGCTGTTCTGCTTACTCTGTTCTCATAAAATATTGCAGTGATATTTAGCGCCCAACAATAAACATAACAATTTCAATTCCCATAGATTTACATGTAGCTGAACACAGAATAATTGCCTCTCAAACTCGAATATTTTCATGTGAATTTAAATACATGTTCATAGATACCATATAAACTAATTTATGGATTACAAAACATGGGTATGTTTGTGGGTACAAAAGATCACTTCTTGAATATTACAAATTTGATGTTCTTTTTCTCTTCAACTGAAATCAGTGGAGAAAGCAATATCGTTTTCATAAAGTCGTGGATTTCCAAGACAATTGTACAGCTTAGTACAAAGCTGTACAATTCTCTTCCTCTTAAATTTCAGATAGCTATTTAAATTATATTAGTGATCTTTTCAGTCCTTCAGAGTTCAACTTTCAGAGGATAGCTAATTAGGAAGCAAAATTTCATGTCCTAAACAAAGAATTGGTTCATGTTTTACCAAGTGAATTGTCAAACTTACATTGCTAATTTCTTATCCATACCTTTTTTACTTTTTGGCCCCAGTGGCCCTTGTCCTTCTTAATTTGCCAAATAATATAATACATGAAAGGAAACTTACTCAGAATTCAACTTCGTATCAGTAGAGCAAGACTCCGTGTCTATCTGGAACATCATGCTACCTTAGTTCTCCACATAAATGAAGGGCATAAGACCTCCAGGACTACAGGTGTTCAGTGATGTCAGCCATGGCTTAGAACATGCATCTCTCTCTCTCTCTCTCTCTCTCTCTCCATAGCTGTTCATATGGATATTACTGTGCCACTGAAATGTGATCATGACTGTCTCAGAGATCTTTGTGTTGTGTGTTGGTGGATGCCCCTCGGTTTTCACCAGGTATCCTGAGGAAAGTGGGCAAGCCAGGAGCATTCCATTCCTGTGAGAGCTCATTCTATTTTGATTATCTTGTAATTATCAGTGAGTCTAGCTTTTTGACTCACTAATGCTGCAGACAGTCTTAAACTAGGAAGACTGAACTCTGCTTAACGCTTTGCCATAAATGTCAGGTGAGCTCCGTGTCCATGTTTTTCTCTTGTCTTCTCACATTAGCATAGCACATGGCAAAGATGTCACTGAAATCATTCAATCTGAAAGATCTAATAAATCCGTGAGTTAAACATGTTCTTGGGGTGCTTATTGTAAAATAATATGGGGACCAATGAATGCTGGCAGATGTGGGTAAGAAGCTAACATTAAAATAACTAATCAAGTAAAAACAAACAAACAAACAAACAAACAAAAAACACCCACAAGACAACTGCTCAACCTAGCTCAGAAAGTCTACACAGATAATAATGACAGACCATTTTTAGAAGCCCTGGTTAATCAGTTAAGTAAAGCTTAACTTTAGATGTCTTTTTGAAGTTACCAGATCTCAAATTTGAAAATTTAATGCTCATAAACTATCTATTTCCCAGCATCTGGCAAAGCAAATTCAGCTTATCATATGTTTTCAACTCAATTTTCTTTTCCTTCTTTTCTCTCTCTCTGTTTAAATTTTCAAATAAACTCAAACGCCAATCAAAAGATAAAAATACTAGCACTGGCAAGGTTCTAAGTAGGGTATTCAGAAGGCAAAAGACAGTTTCTCTTTCAAATCAATTTAATCCAGGGACATTAAGAAGTAGGCTTTTATGTGGGAGATTTACCTAAATCCTTGAAATCTTACTCCTAAATCACAGAGTGAAATGTGTGATAATCAAAGTCGATATAATCTTCATATCAAAAGCACACTGATTATTTATGAAGCTTTTCCCTTAGTATTTCATGATTAGTATTGATGTGAGGTTGAAATTACTGTGTTAGTCATTTTTTCCCAGGTAAACTTGGGATCAGGGAACCAGATCTCACATACAGCAAAACGCAAAGACAGACCTCCATTCCACCCCTTTCCCAGTCTATATCCTTATGATTGTGCTGTGCCACTCTGTTGTCTCAAGTTAAACACTTGATCTCTGTATCAAAAGAGATTCCTCCAAATGTAGAATGATGCACAAGGAAATGATTTCAGACTCACCACTGCTCCCTGGCCTCAAATCAGAGCTTTCCTTCTCTCAGGGATTCTTTAGAAATGTGAAACTGGGAGAAAGTTTGGGTTGTTTTTTTTTTTTTTTTTTTTTTTGCTTAACTACTGCCAGTACACAAAAGTCCTTTTACCATCCATCTTCTTCATGTCAAATCCCTTGCATTACTGCTGGCTGCCTCTGAGCTTGCCAGAATCAAGAACTTGGATAAGATGTAGCTGGCAGAAATTCAACCCAGGCAAGACAAAAGTGATGCAGATAGGCAGACGTGTTTAGCGTAAATAAGGAGAAGTGCTGATTCTCTGGCACTCGGGACACCACAGCACCAAACATAAACAGCTTTGTGGTGTGACTGGACTCTGTTGCTTCTGGACTTCCTAACAGCTACTGTGGCTGGAAATGCCATCTTCCATCTCCAGCTGGCTTGGAGGCTGCATACTTTCTTCCAAATTAAGATTCTGCCACAGTGATGTACACATTTGTCATATCCAGCTGGACTACTATAGTGCGCTCTAGCCGGTTCTCAATACACAAGATGATATAAACGCAGCTGACAACAGTGCAAAGTAATTTACTTGTTGGAGAAACTGGACAATCAAATGAGATGCCTCTTTGGCTCTGGACAGGCGTAGGTGCTGCTGGCTCTACGAAATACTATTGGTAACGAAAGGCCAAATCACATCATAGGCTATAGCCAGTCTGACGCCCACCAAAGAATCAAAAAGAAAAAAGAAAGGCCAAACTTGTAGCAAACTATGCATGGAGCCTTTGACTTACAGTAATGGGTTATCTGTCCACATGTTTTCCAAATGAAGACTTTAAGTTTTGTCTTGTTTTGTTTTTAATCATGTGTCTGTATGTTGTGGGAAGGTAGAGTATGTGTTCGCGGGTGTAGTGAGGATGGAAGCCATAGCCATCAGATCTCCCCGGATCTCATGAGTTTATAGATAGCTGTGTGACGCCTGACAGGGCCACTGGGCACTGAATTCGCCTCCTCTGCAAGAACAGCACTTACTACTGATCACTGAAGCATCTCTCCAGCCCCAAAACAAGCCTTTTGACACGCAATGCTGGGTAAACCAGATGCATAGAGTTCAGCTTTTATGCAGAACCCAACAAACAACTAACAGTATAGTAAGTCCCCAGTCAAACTGACCCACACAAATGATGCTCCAAAGGGGTCGCCCGCTCCTTCACGAGTGTGAAAAATCGAGAGGAGTAGTATTTGTCAATGTACTGTCTCTGACCTTGAATTCTAGAAAACATGGAAACCTTGATTAAAGAAAGAAACAAGATGTAATTTTTCATTTGGACCAAGACTTAATGAAATGTGCACTGCTATAAGGCATGAACGAGGGGTACTGGGGGCCTGATAATACATATTTTACTTGTATTGGCCACACTACCCCCACCCAACTCAGAAAAGGCAGCTGTAAATGAGTTTATAAATAAAAAGGAAAAGAGTTTCAATAAAACTTTATCAACACTTAAAACTGAACAGTCAAGACTGTTCTACAGGCCATTCTTCAGCTTCTGGTTCTTAAGTTATGAACAGAAGGCTAGATGGGCAGGTGGGCCACAGTTCGCTGACTGCTATTCCAAGGTGTATGTGAACTAAATCATAAAATTCAACATTCCTGGACTTGATGCATCAAACGATAGCAGGTCCGCTTCTGTTCTTCCGGGGAGAACAAGAGTTAATTGTTTAACTTGCCTGCTTTTTCTCATCTGCTAAATGGACCCTCTGTGGGTTGTTTTGAACAAGAATCATAAAAGGTGGGGCGGGTCTACAAAAAAAAAAAAAAAAAAAAAAAGCCAAAGACCACTCTCCATAGATTCCATAGATTGCAGCCCTGCTTTGCAAAATCTTCCGCAAACCCAACTCCATCTAACGTGACACCTACCCGATTCCTGTCCTCCGCTGTCAACAGCCCCTTCTCCACGCACGGATCCAAGACATCGTTAAACAGAAGCCTGTCCACCAAGGTGGGCTGAAGGAGGTTCAGCAGGTGGAGACACTCATCGTGGACGGTCTCGGAGGAGGGAGAGGGCAGGTCGGTGAGTGTGGGTTGGACGTAGCGCGCGGCTAGGGGGTTGCCACTGCGCTCCAGGGCCTCCACAAACATCTGCCCCCACCCGGCCGGCCACGCCCCCTTCTCCAAGGTGCTCAGCAGCAGTCCCGCGGCGCTGGTGTTCCCACCGGTGTTGACCCTTTTGAGGATCTGCTCTTTGGTTTCTGTGGGCAGAAAGAAGAGGTAGTCCAGCACCGGCTCCACCTGGATGTAGCTCTTCAACCTGGGCCTGAAGCAGGAGATGTGATAGCGGAACCTGTCCTCTGCGGAGCACGCACTCGACATGGTTGGTTCTCAGCGAGGGCCGGAGGAGTCTCCCGGAGGCCGACGATCCACAGGTGGGAGTGGAAGGGTCCCCGCCTGGGCTGCCCGGGAGCCGCAGGGACCCGGTGGCTGGGGCGCAGGGTGGCACCCGGGGGGTGGCAGGTGGGCCAGGAGTGCGCTGCGGGAGGTGGGCGCAGACGCGGGAGCACTCGCTCTCTGGCTGTGCCGCTCACCCGGACAGGGAGCTTTAAGTATTGTTTTCCACCCACAGATCCTCGAAGTTGCAGGATCGGTTTCTGTTTCGATTCTCTTCTCCGGACTTTACTAACGTCAACTTCCGGGCTAGAGAATTAGTTTCGGGAGGGAGGAGGGAGGCTTGTGGAGGCAGCTGGTTAAGGGTGGGAGGACTTTGGCCAAGGACACCATGGGAAGGCGGAAAAACCGGAGGGAAAGCGAATTCGCCCTCGTGTTGAGAAAGCGATGCTCTGCCATGTATTATCTGCGGATATTTTGTCTTCCCCGACGGGTGCTGCCCACAAGACCGGACCCACTTGTCAGTTAACATGCAAGGAAGGTCTTAAAGGAAAATGAAGAATTGCCCTTAACCCTGAAGTAAAAATTGAGTTGCTCTCATTTGTGGGGGTCGAGGGGTGGAAGTGAGGCAGGTGGAGGGAGGTTCCAGAATAATGGAGCTCAAGGAGGCATTTCTGCACACTCCCTACAGTAAACCTCACAGCCAGTGGGGGCCACAAAACTAATTTGCTCCTCCCAAGAACTGAAACTTAAGTATAAAAGAGCGAACAATACTAAACAGCTTTGTTTTCCCGTGCTTTGATTGGCAGTATAATATTTATTCAGATTTGACCTGGGCCTGCCTAGTGACAGATGCCTGCTGACTTTAGCCACCAATTCTGCCAAGACTGACAGCTTCCTCTCTTCCGGGGTGTAAGTTCCCTGTATTCTTTAGTAGACAACTTTCTTATAATGAAACAAAACAAAACAACAATAACAACAACAACAAAACCCTCAGCAACTTATTTTTGATATAGCTGCCATTCTTTTCTTGGACTGAATACAACAAGTTTTGGCTGAAGCGTCTAGTAACTTAATTAGCAACTAATGTACCGCCTTGTAGCAAACATCAATTTGTCTATGTCATCCTAGAGAAGGAGGGAAAAAAGGCATTCACAGTGGGGGGGGGGGGGAAGGCAGCTTTGTCCCTGTACTTAAAACGTACAGAAACTGTATAAATGTGAGTCTGTGTGTCGCTGTCCACAAAGCAGGCAACTAGATGACAAATATGGAGGTACATTAATATTTTAAGTAGAACTTCCCAGTCCCGAATCACATGGGAACTGGAAGTTGTCAGAAAGACAAGCTCACTGAAATCTGGTGAGTTTTAGTTATTGAATCTGCAAACGGCATCTTTTTGAGATATTAGCAAAATATATTATCCAATTTCCCAGCTGCCTATGGGTTCTATTCTACAGGACACAGCAGAAATTGACCAATAAACCAAAAATCATTCTAGTCCCTGGTATTTTTCCCATCTTCTCTTAGTTTCAGACACTGAAGATTCAGAGGGGATTGCTGGTTGGATATGGGGGATGATGTCATTATCTTAACATCAAAGATACTGATGGATAGAGGGTTCAAGTAGATAACTAAATGTTGGTATTGAAATTATTCATTCATACTTCAAAGTAGTCACCACGTATCACTATATGGCCAACGTTTTTCTAAATACTGTTAGTAATGTAAAGTTTCTATTTTTATTGAGCCCCCCCAAAAAAGGGAGTGAAGACAGATACTAATAATACAATTGAAATATCCAGTGTTCCAGATCAGGATAACTGCTGGGAAAATAAGCTAAAGCCAGATGTAGAGTTGTGCCACTGGTTGCTTTGATTTTCCACATAGGTGTCCTCACCCGTGCCACAGTCAACATTCCATGATATTCAATCGGAGACAATTTTGTATTTTTTGTTTCCAAATTGAAGTCACTAGCTGGTTGAAGATTGAGTGTGACAGCTGAGGGAGAAGAGACAGGAACCTCTTTTTCTAAGATTCTATCACAGTTTTGAAAGGACCTCTTCTAGAAAAATGTTGGTAAGGAAATAGAACTCCATTTACAATTTCTCAACAATTATCTCTTTGGGCCAGCAAAAAAGCTCAGTGAGTAAAGACACATGTGAAGACCAGAACCCACATGACTGAAGGAGAGAATAGACCCCTACAATGTCCCCTGACAACTAGTCACTGTGGCATGAACACATACACACAAATAAAGTAGTATAAAAAATGCTTTTCCTTCAATTGTATTTTTGTATGATGATTTATCATCTGTACTTTTTGTTATTGTTGGTTTTTTGAGACAGGGTTTCTCTGTGCACTTTCCTTTTTTAAGTTTTTAGATTTTCTTTGCTTTTACTTTCATCATCATCATTCTTCTTTTCTCAGTACTAAGTTTCTGTTTCTTTTCCCCTCTGAGAAAGACTGCTGACTGTATTTCTTTTCTTTTCATCTTGCCCTGAACTGCCCATCTTTTGAAAATCCCCAAAGATATACTTTAGCCCCCATTGGTTTCAAGTCACTCTTCAGCATCTTGTCTAAATGGTAACACAGGAAGATGCTAGACTATAGATTCCTGTTATTTCCAAGTTTTCATTATAATTTTTAACATTAAAGAAGTAAAGATGGGAAAATCAAGCTGGTTGGTTAAGCCAGTAATGGCATTTGCCACCAAGCCTGACACCTGAATTTGACCTTAGACCCATATGGCAGAGGGAGAGAGTCACTTCCTACAACTTGTCCTAATACACACAAACACAGAGTAAATAAACAAATTAATGTAGTAAAAAAGTGGAGATGTTCAGTGCTGCCACACAATGTAATAACCACCTAAAACAATAATGGTTTTATTTTATTGTTGTTTGTTTGTTTTATCTAAGAAAATGACATTAAATCCAGTTTTATGAGCAAATCTTTTGTTGAATCTTTGTATTTATTTTCTAAAAAATTGAAAGAAAAACAAAATAAATAAATAAATAAACAAACAAACAGAGGACCCTGAGATTTCACCTTACACCCATCAGAATGGCTAAGATCAAGATCTCAAGTGTCAACACATGCTGGAGAGGATGTGGAGAAAGGGGAACCCTCCTCCATTGCTGGTGGGAATGCAACTTGTATGACCACTTAGAGTATCAATTTAGCGCTTTCTCAGGCAGTTAGAAATAGTGCTACCTCAAGATCCAGCTATCCCACTCCTAGGCATATAACCAAAACTATGCTCAAATATACAACAAGGACATTTGCTCAACCATGTTTGTAGCAGCTTTATTCATAATAGCCAGAATCAGGAAACAACCCAGAGGTCCCCCAATGAAGGAATGGATACAGAAATTGTGGTACATTTACACAATGGAATACTACTCAGCAATTAAAATCAAGGAAATCATGAAATCTGCAGGCAAATGGTGGGAACTGGAAAAGATCATCCTGAGTGAGGTAACCCAGAAGCAGAAAGACACATATGATATATACTCCCTCATAAATGAATATTAGACATAATATGGTATAATCATACTAAAATCTGTACACTGAAAGAAGCTAAGCAAAAAGGAAGATCCTGGGTAAGATGCTCATCTTCATTCAGAAAGGCAGACGGGATAGGCATCGGAAGAAGTTGAAAATAAGGAGCAAGACAGGAGCCTACCACAGAGGGCCTCTAAAAGACTCTACCCAGCAGGGTATTAAAGCAGATGCTGAGACTCATAGCCAAACTTTGGGCAGAGTGCAGGGAATCTTATGAAAGAAGAGGGAGATAGAAAGACCTGGAAGGGTCTGAAGCTTCACAAGGAGAGCAACAGAACCAAAAAATCTGAGCCTAGGGGTCTTTTCCAAGACTGATACTCCAACCAGGTACCATTCATGGAGATAACCTAGAACCCCTGCACAGATGTAGCCCATGGCAGTTCAGTCTCTAAATGGGATCCTTGGAAAGGGGAACAGTGGCTGTCTCTGACATGAATTCAGTGGCTGGCTCTTCACCTCCCCCCTGAGTGGGGAGCAGCCTTACCAGGCCACAGAAGAAGACTATGAAAGACAGTCCTGATGAGACCTGATAGGCTAGGGTCAGATGGAAGAAGGCATCCTCCACTATCAGTGGACTGGGGAAGGGGCATGGGAGGAGATGAGGGAGGGAGGGTGGGATTGGGAAGGGGTGGGGGTAGAGTTACAGCTGGGATACAAAGTGAATAAATTGTGATAAATAAAAAAATATATTAAAAAAAGTTTAAAAACAAAACAAAACACTGTATCTAAGAGTGTTAGCCAAGCAGCATGGAGTCACTGTGTGTGGAGACTGACTTCAGGGTACCTGAGCTCATATCTTAGCATTGTCTTCCTAATTCCTTTGTGATTGGCACATCAGTAAGATGCATGGCACCAATGCCATGCCCTGAGGTTGTCCTAAGGATGAACTGCCAATTGCTTATGGTCAGGCCTAGAATGTTCCTGTACCCAGTAATAACTCAGTTCTCCAAGGATACAGAGCCTATGAAGGAAGTTGTTTCGTTATGGATATAGACATTTTACCTGGGTTTAGCCATGATCCCTTGTGTAATTAGACTAATAGGCCGACTCAGTAGGAGTATTTATTAAAGGAATATTTTCCTGCCTTTATGTTCCCAAAAAGACCGATAGCCTTGTCTTAGTGAAGGTTTCTATTGCTGTGACAAAACACCATAGCCAAAAGTAGCTTGGGGAGGAAGTGTTTATTTCAGCTTACAAGTCCTGACCAGTCTTTCCTGAAGAGCAGTCAGGCCAGGAACCTGGAGGCAGGAGCTTATGCAGAGGCCATGGAGGGGTACTACTGACTGGCTTGCTTCCTCATGGCTTCCTCAGTCAGCTTTCTTTCTTTCTTTCTTTCTTTCTTTCTTTCTTTCTTTCTTTCTTTCTTTCTTTCTTTCTTTCTTTCTTT